AGTAATAGCTAAAGTAGGTAATAATTCTATATAGGTATAAGAAGAAAAGCCTATAATAACCCCTAAATCTATAGAGGAAGTATATAATACTATTATTATTAATAATAAAACGCCTCTATAGTAAGGCTATAGCTGCCTATAAAAGAACCTAGTTAACACTTTTTTTTATAAGATACACCCTACTATTAACGTCTTTAATATATACCTTACTATAAAGAAAAAGATAGACTATACGCTTACTATTAAACTATATAAAAAAGGTATTAGACTACGCTTAGTAAGCTTTTTAAGGAATCTAATAAGGTAAAAGTAAAAGCCTTTATTAACTGTAGTGTATTTTATATTATTACCTATAATAAGAAAGCGTATAGTAATATATAGATCTTTAAGTTATATATAGTATATAAAGTTAAGAGGAGAAATAAGTAACTATATAAGGAATTATAGTTAGTTATTTAAGGCTATACTAATAATAGTAAAAGGATAATCCTTATATAGTTACTTACTATCTAATAAATAGCCTAGTGACTTATCTTTACTTTTACCTCTTTACTTCTCTAATATAGATTTTAGCTCTAGGTATATAATATTACCTAGACGTATACCTAATCTATAATACTACTTAACTATATTATTCTTATAAGACTTCTTATATAAATACACTATCTTTACCCTAGTGACTTTATTATAAAGGTAATAAAGCCACTTTATAGTATTACTAAGGTAAGTACTTACTAGTAGGCTATAAATAACTACTACTACAAAGAGAATCTCTAGATAAATTTATTAACCTTTAACTACTACCTCTTAATATTATTACCTAGTAATAAAGATTTTAGTATTATTAGTATATAAATAGATAATATAATTAGCCTTATAAATAATAGATTCTCTACCTAACAGGAGAAAAAGCTTAAGAAAGTAACTTTTACTATAAAGCCTAAGTAACTACTAACTATTAATAATTCTATTACCTTTAATAGTAGTATGTTTTCTTTTAGCTATAATAGTAAGATAAATTTTTACTAAAAGGATTAAGGTAAGAAGCTTTAGCTTATTAATATAAATTTACTTACTACTAAGTAAGATTTTATCTAGTAAAAGGCCTATAGGGTATATATTATATTAATCTACTAACCTAAGGCTTACTTTAACTACTTAGTTACTATATAACACTAAAGGCCTATAGAGGAGAAGATTAAGACTTTTAACTACTAGATTAAATAATAAATAAGTCACCTTAACTATTTGCTACCATGAATTAGGACTCATCCTTCGAGTCTGATTATACTTACTAGTAAAAGTAATATTATATAACTTACTACTAATAGAAAGAAATATATACTTACTAGTAATATTATTTACTTTAGCTTAATAAAGTATAAAAAAGTTATATATAGTATACTAGCCTCTAAAGTCTATAATATAGTTACTAGCGCTAACGTTATATACGTAATTAGTACTATACTTATAATAATTACTAACTACTTTAAGATACTATAAATCCTAATAATCCTTTATACTAATTTATATTCTCTCTATAAGTGCCTTATAAAGCTTAGCACTACTAAGAAGAAGTAACTTATAATTAATATTATAGCGCTTTACTAGTTATATAAGTAATATAAGATCTATAAGATCTAATAGATATAAGGAGAGAATAACCTAGCTAATAGATTTATAAAGTTATTACTAAATAAAGCGCTAGAGCAGTTAGTTAATAATAGTTAATTAGAGATATAAATAAACAGATAGGTTTTATATATATAATAAGTTATATATATAAAAAGTATTAAATACTTTTTAGCTTTTACTTTTATTACGTTTTTAGGCCCTTTATAGATAACTAGAAGATAAGGGGGTAATTTATAGCACTTTAGAAGGTTACTAGTGTTATAATGTTAACTATTGCCTAGATTATTAGCGCTATAATTAACGCTAATCCGACAGAGAAACTACAGCTAATTAACTGTAGATCCACCAGGGGATCTACGGGGTATTACCTGGCGATGTCGCTGCATAACACCTATAGATAGTTTCTCTTCTTTACGTATAATTCAGAACCGGTATATTCCCCTATTATTCGTCAATTGCCTATTGATACGTACGGTTAACCGTATCACCATCCTGGTGATTCCAACAACTTTACTCTATAATAACCAGACGCTGCGGTTTATTACATTTCTTATAAAAGGCCTTGCTCCTTACTATAGATAGAATACATATATAGGCGATTAGTGACTCTGCTTTACTATAATCTGCTAGACGATAGAATCTAAGCCAGCATAGACGTGCCTGCTTAGGTAAAAACTACCTGATTTCTAGCATCACCGCTCTCTATCGCCGTTGTAGCAAACGTCCACAATTCGTGCCCAATTGATCGCAGTAGCTCCCACGCTGTTGGCTCATACCCTTACACTGTGTCTCCTATACGAGGTAGGAACCGCGACACGGGTTGGTAGCCTGGACGTTGAGAGAGGAGCAAAAGAACTCGGACCCTGGACAGAAGCATCGTCTAGCTCGGATTGGATAAGGTCGAAGAGGAGGAGAAACGTTTCATCAAGGAGGCAAAGAGGCAGCATGGGAAAAAGTTCTGGCGCGGGAAGACGTCGATATCGCCGCTCAGAGGGGCGCTTGCCATATGGGTGCTGACGGTTGACGACCTGGACGGGGCCAGTCTGCATAGGACAAGCATTAAGAAGAACACCACTAATAAGACAGCTATAATATAAAACTAAATAGCTTGTTGTGTTCCATAGAATAGGGTCTTTCGACCACCTATACTATAGCTTTTTATGTTCCATAGAATAGGGAAACAATAGTTATAAATCACACAATAGCAGAGGTTGTAGACAGCAAATACTGAACACATAGCAAGACTTAGGGGTTAGTATATATTCATTAAGAAAGGTGAACCTGTTACAACATGTAAATCTAGGCGCAACTGTCTAGCTATAGACTAGGCAGTCGCCACTTGTAATAGAATGATAACAGTTTCCCTAGTTTAGTATAGTAAGGAGAGCATAGGACAAAGCTTACTTAGTCACTCTTAGTAATCTTTTATTAATAGGACCTAACTTGTCCTATTACACTAGCTATCTAACATAGGCCGACACTAGCTGTGGATGTACGCTCATTATATAACGGCTTGTAATAGAAGCCGTTGTTCTATACCAGAGCATATGAACCCAACAGCGTAGAAACTGGATAGGTTCTGCTTCTTGTAGTAACTAGGACCCATAGAATCAAATGGGGCAGCCGCATGCACAAAGGTTATCACCACCCAAGTCATCAAGCCATTATAGCAAAGCAAGCACTCACAAAAGGCATCTTATGACTAGGTATTTCTTGGTGATCTTGGCAGACTATAGTGTGTTGGAGTTGGCAATGGGTGTTTAGGTGGTAACTGTAATTAGTAAGAGATGTATGTTAACCTTCTGTCTTATAGCTTTTCTATATTAATTACTAGGTTTTAATAGCCTCTTTGCATTCTCACCCGCTCCCTCTGGCGCCCTTAAATCAACTTGAAGTTTTGCTCGCTCTGGATTAGCTTTAACTTCTAAAGCAAAAAGAGCATAGTTTTCAGCATTCCCTTTCTTCTTCCAATCCGGGAGGGACAAACAGCTGTTACTCCTTTGTCAATACTGTTTCTCCAAATACTAGAAGTATAGATAGTTTGCTTACTTGTCCGGGCGGTAAGCGTAATCATGAGCGTAATAGTCTGCTCCGACTACTATACGTTGATGTAGCATTTCGTGTAGTAGAATCTGTCCACCAACATCTATATCCTCCCGCTTATCCCTCCAAGATGCAAATGCTTCTGTGTACTTTTGACTAAGGCCAAAGTAACTCGGGCAAACCATGACATAGCTGTACCGGTTGTCACGAGCGACAGCATAGGTGTTTGCTGTACAGTACTGTGGGTCTGTAGGAAAGCATCCAAAAACTATGGCATTATAACTGCCGTCCTCGACACTCTCGGTATATCTCACAGACCGTAGGCCCATATTCCATATACTTTTGAAGACTTTATTCCCGATCTCTGTCGCCCTGGTGGCAGATGCATAGGATTCTAACGTCAGAGGTTAGAAATAATTAAGAGTATATTGGTCTTTGTCCAAAGTGGGTAGACCACCCAAACGTACCTCCAAACCATGCAATATATGCTGCAGTGGTATGAGAGTCAGGTTGGAGCAAAAAGTCAGACGCAGCACCAGCAAGTTCATGCATCCATTTCAGGTCGGCAGTGATCCTCTGCACCTGAGAATCTTTACAAAACCCACTGTTTCCTTTACCAATGTTACCACCGACTATCTGTGCGTTTGTCCTGGACTGTCGTTTTTTTAGCGGCTGAGGTGTTGTAGCTTCTAATGACTGCAAGCTGGGCGGTAGGATAAGGCCATTAGCTAGCACTAAAAATAGAAGGGTGAGAATGCTGTACTGTATGAACGTCATTTTATGATACAAATAAAGCAAGGTTAGTAAGAAGAGTAGGTAAACTAGAGCAACAGAGGATACAATATCAAGGGGCTTTGGAAGACCCTTATACTAAAGTAGCAAATACGCCTAAGGGCATAACTAGCCTTTCAATCCGCGAAAAGGGGGAAAGGGCTTAAGGATTGCAGCGGCGTTGGTCCACTCAGAGATACCCTAACCAAACTATTATAGGTACTATATTAATCTTCTTAATACTGTAATAAACACAATAAATAGCAGAAGTGCTTGTCATCTGCTTCTGACTCGCATTATACACTTTAGGTTTCTGACTAGTCCCAGTCTGTGGACAAGACCTAACTACGGAGTTTCCGATTGAATAATTTAAAGCACCTACCTTATAGTTACCTTTATATCCTGGCTACCCTTTTAATTACGCTACCCACTTTAAACTTTTATAATATGTTCAATTTCATCTACATGGTTCCATTTTGTATAACACGCACCCCATTTACAGCCTTGCTTGTAATATTTATTTCAAAGTTCATTATGGAATCAAATTCTCAATGCAAGACATCTTACATGCAAACTTTGTGGTTTGGATCTCATCAAGGTCGCACAAAGCAGCGGCGACGGTTTGAGTCAGTGACTTGGACGGTGAAAAGCACCGCTTAACGGTTATAGATAGTTGTCTTGATGACTGCTTAGGCGTCTTGACGGCACGGGAATTACTCGGATAGCATCGGACTGTCGTTGTTTGTCGCATTTGAGGGATGTCGTTGGTCGCTGACGGTGTTGACCATTTCTAAGCGTCTTTCTGGCGGTGGAAGGGGTGTGTGATGTTGGCCCGCCGTTGATTGGAGACCAATTCGGTCTTTCGTTGTTGGGTGAAGTGTTAGACCTGTGGAACAATGTGGTGTCAGGCCAGGTGACACGTCGGCTAACCATACTGACCTGTTCTTAGTGATGATGTAGTCGCTTACAAGACAGATGGATGTGTGTGTGATTCGGAGGTCGCGGTGCTAGCCTTGTGCGCGGGCATTGTCTCGGATCCTTCCAGGTCGGTGAGGGGGCAGCGTGCAATGAGCCGTCGAAAGGGGTAAGGCGCTGCTTGATGAAAAAGACGTGTCATCTCCGTCGTTGTGTATACTGAAGAGGGAGAGGACCTGGTGAGTTGACTAAGAGGAAAAGAGTGACGGAGCTAGTGTGACCCTAAACTTGGGGCTGTTCCTCTTACGCTAACGCGGTCGTAGTTGTCGTCGGCAGCGGTGGCCGTGTCGATGAAGGCTCTATTGGTGCCGCAGGAAGCGGTACGAACGACTGGGTATGTTTTGTCTTGACAAGGGCTCATGCGTGAGGATATTTAGAACGATGCCAGAGAAAGGGACAGAGCTATCGACGGGCAGTGAGTGACTAGGATAATATGACGCGCAAGCCGTCAGAGGCTCACATGCATGACAGGAGAAGGCAAGCGGGGGCCGGTCGGCTGGCGATGCAGACGCCATCGTCAAAGCACTTTATAGAACACACACGAACGTGCCTGCAGCTGCAACTAGAAGCGGCAAGCAAGAGAGAGACCGTCTTGCCTAGGTTGTCTTTATTAAGCTATATTATGTCTCTAGATCTAGTTACATCTTATTTAGGTTTAAATATGTTAAATAATAGGGATTATAATAGTTAATTAATTACGCTGTATGTAGGTTAACTATAGTAAAATCCTATAATAACAAGGAAATAATAGGGATTATAATAGTTAATTAATTACGCTGTATGTAGGTTAACTATAGTAAAATCCTATAATAACAAGGAAATCTCCCTATTTCTTAGTTAGGAAATCCTAGGCTAATCCTAGCAATATTATAAGTAGAATTGCTAGTAAAGTAAGGTAATTTTACTAGTTATTCTTTAGTAACTTACTATATAGTAACTACATATTTACTAGTAAATTTATATATACTTCTACTATAATTAATGTACCCCGTTAGTATTAGTAATATAGTAATTACTATAAGACGATACTAAATATCTTTTCTTACTTATTAATTATCTTTTAATATTTTATATTATGTTTTTCTTTATTTATTAGTGAAGCGCTACTTTATTATTAGCTAATTCTTACTATTAAGTTAGTTTTTAATATGAATACTACCTACTAATATTTAATTAAGCTATAAAGTTAGTAAATTATAGTATAATAAGCATCTCTACTAATCTATAAGCTATTAATTTAGTTACCTTCTTATATTTAATAGTAGTTTAACTTAGTAGTATTTTTTAGTATAGCTAGTAGTTATAAATGTTTATATACTATAGCTTTGCTTCTAAATAAATAATAATTATTATGCTCTAGGTATTATTATAAATTATATAAATAAATAATAGCTCTTTATTAGCTATTTACTTATTGAGTAATAATTTATTTCTTATTTAAGTTAATAGTTTAATACTTAGGATAGTAATTAATCTACTAGTAAAAGATATTTAAAATATAGTAAATAATAGTACTAGTAATCTAGGCTTAGTAGTTAATATTATTATAATATCTTATCTTTTATCTTAATAAGAAATAAGCCCTTTAAATAGCTTTAGGTTATATACTTATAAGCTATAATAATTCAGTATGTTATTAGTAAATAACGTATTTAAAGTAACTTTTAATATATTATATTTACTACTTAGTATTACTATTATAATGTTAACTATTGCCTAGATATTAGTGGTATAGATTAACGCTAAAATAGCTAGACTAACTACAGCTAATTTACTATAGATCTACTAGATCTATAAGGTTATTACACAGCTAATTAGCTACGTAATCCTATAATAGTTTTTCTTCTTTTTATATTTAAATTTAGAACTAGTATTTACCTCTATTTATTTATTACTACCTATTAATATATATAGTTAACTATATTACTGCCTTTATAAAACTAGTATTAATTAGTAGTAAACTTTATAGTAACTACTACTATAAGATACTATAGATTAGTAAGATAACATCAGAAGAGGTAATTTCTTTATTAATTATTTATAGTAGCCCTAATTAGTTACTAAGAATTCTATCTATAAATACCTTTATAGTAAGATTATACTACACGTCTATTATAGGTTAATTTATATTACCTAGTAGCTATATCTTCTTAATATCGTAAGGGTCGTGTATATTTAGTTTATTTATATTAGTAAATTAACTTTATTATTATATAAGAAGTTCTTTATCTAATTACAAAAAACACCTTACTTTAAATACTAACTTACTATTAATTAGTAATTATTTACCTTTTTCTTTCTTTCTATTATAAGCTTATAAAGCTTACTAACTTTCTCTTATTTATATATCTTTTTTGTTTTTCTTTTAAGTTATTTTATACTACTAATATAATAGTCTTTATTACCTATAAGCTTACTAAAAGCCTTTTCTTTATTAAGTTTTTCTTTAACTATAAGTCTTTATAGTTATTTATACTACTAGTAGTAAATACTCTAATAGATATATATACCTTTTAATAATAGTTAAGAGAAACGTCTATAACTAAGAGGTAGTTAGGCTACTAGAAGGTAATTATAGGTAAGTAACTAAGATAAGTGAGTATAAAAAGATAATAAGTAATATATAAGAAGGTAAATTAATTAAGTAACTTATAACAATTTATAATAAGTATATAATATTATATTACGCTATAAGTCTAGTAGCTATAATAAGTAACTTATACTTTATACTTAGTAACTTTAGGAAGTATATTCTTCTTAATCTTTAAGAAAAAGATTATATTATAAAACTACTAAAGGATCTTACAAAGGCTAAGTAATATAATAGCCTTATTACTATAGCTATATATTATATTATATAGTATAAAGTAAATAACTATTTATATAATATGTTATAAAATAAGATATAATATAGCTTTAAAAAGTTAGAAATTAAGGACTTTACTTTTAAACTATATAAGATATATAAGAAGTTATATAAATAGCTTATAATCTATAAAGTATAAGTTAACTAGGTAAAAAACTTTATAATTATATTATATCTTTACTAAGCTATATAAAATAAAAAGCCTATTATTTTAAATAAAGAGAGAATTAATACTACTATATAAAAGGTTAGAGAATTCAAAAGACAGTTAGTAGATAAGGATTTCTATAAGAGGATTACTAATGTAGTAGTGTTACTTATTTAGGCTGTTATTATATTAAGAATAGCTAAAGAAGCTATAGCTTATAAATTACTAGTAATTACCTAGGTAACCTCTTATAATAATCTATAATTTATATCTCTTTTAGCCTTATTACTATAAAAACCTTAAGTAATAGTAGTAATTTATAAGAATTAAATTTAACAATATATATTACTTATAGTAATACTAGCTAAGCCTACTACTATAGTAAGTAAGTAATGTAGCTTAACGCTAAGGTAATTAATAGACTTAATAAAGTTTTATATTAATAATCTAGGTTTAAAGTATAATAGTAGCCGATATAAAACTCTTAACTTAAAGTTATTACTTTTTATAATCTTTATATATATATAAGTATACTATAAAGCTACTATAGTATAGTAGTAAAAGTAATACTTAAAGAGAAGCTAAATAAGTATTATATTACCTTATTACTTAGTTATTCTGATAATTCTATTATAATAATAGTAAAGCTTAAATAACACTTTAAAGGTAATAATGTATACCTTTTACGCCTTACTACGCTTTACTATACCTCTTATAATTTAACTACTAGAGAAAATACTAGTAAAAGTAAACTTAAGGTTATTAATATACTTATTATATAGACTACCTAGCTAGTGTAAGTAACTAGTTATAATAATACCTTATACAATAAAGATTATTATAAGTAGTTACTTACTTACCACTATAATATACCTAAATACTTTATTACTATTCTTAATCTACTTATTACCTTTAGTAGCCTCTATATATAACTATATAGTAGTATAATAAGTTTACTTCCTTATTATAACTTATACTTATAATTTATTACTTATAATAATAGTAATAATAATAATTTATATTAATATATATATATAGTAAGTAGCCTATTATAGTAAGTAGCCTACTTCCTGTCTTTTCTTTTTTTTTAACCTTTACACTAGTATTTCTTTATATATAAATATATAATCTTTTTTAATTAAAAGCTATATTAACCTTACTATCTAAGCTATTAAAAAAGACCTAAAGATGTGTATATAAAACTCAGCTACTATCTTTAAGGTCCCTTAATCCTTACTCTATTACTAACTTACTAGACGCGTTATATAAGATAAGACACGTCTAAATTTAAAGAAGATAATAAAAGTTAAGAAAGAGGTAATTCTTAAGAGAGTTATTAACCTAATTAACTAAGGGTTTTCTCTCAAACAAGAGGACGTTTAGGATATAGCTAAGTAACTCCTAAAGGTATATAATATAATATAAATAAGACCTTAATAAGTAGAGAACTTTATATAATAATAACTATAATTAAGAATATAATGTTAATATTAACTTAACTATAATAAAGTCTTAGCTAAAAATCTTATAATTATATAAGGCTAGTTTATACTTATATAAAACGTAATAATAAGGTATAAAGTATAAGATTATAATATCTATAATTTTAATAAGACTAGGTTTTTAATAAAAATACTATTATATATAAAGGTTATTATAACCTCTAACTATAAGGGAAGGCCTAATATAAAGTAGCCTAGTAATTAAGAATAGATTTCTATTATTTAAGGTGTATATATAAACAGCTAGGTAATACCTTTATATATTATTATAAAAAGTAAATATTACCTCCTCTCTTAGTACTAAAACAGCTAATTTCTAGCTAAATAGTGTATTTACTTAAGTAAAAATAAATAAATAATAAATAAAATTAGCCTAAATTAGTTATCTTATTTTAACTAGTATATTAAGTCTTATATAAAAGTACTTATTAAATCCTAATCCTTAATAGCTATAATAGCTATAAATTAACTAGATTTAATACTTTTTATAAAGAATAAAAGATTATTACTTTATATATATCTCTTTATTTATTATATAAGCTTTAGCTTTTAATATAAGTTATTTTAGCCTATTAAAGCTTTTATATAGTAAAGAAATTAAAAAGATAATATAAATATATATTTTATATATTATAAAAAATAACTTCTTTCCTACCTTTAAAGTAGTATATTTTTCTTTAATAAAAAGAATATAAGCTAGCTTTAGATAGTCTAGCCTTATACTTTTTAACTCTAAAGTAGTTATTTCTTACCTAGACTTTAAGCTAAATATACTAATACCTTCTAGCTTACGTCTAACTAGCTTAGGATTATAAGAC